TTATTTAAATTAAGTCAATGCATAAACTCAAAATCGATATATAGTTTTCAAATTCCTATTATAATTTGATTAAAGAATTTTGTACATTCAATAATTAAATATTCATGGATTGAAAATTTGGGATTTGTTCATTATAATTATTATTTAATGAACAGTTAATAGTCCACCAGTCCAATGAATAACTTATAGCCGATTAGCAAGCAGTTGTCCTCTTATTATATTTGATTATATTTTTATTTATGCGAGCCATCACTGTTATTAGCAAATTATCACTAATGTTATTTCTAAAATTATGGCATTACCTATAATTAAAACAAATGCTTATATTTTAATTAATGGGTACTGTGTATGATTCACATATTTTTGTGTTTATTACAGTAATTATATTCACTTTTCAGTAAATAACATACATTTACTTACTGTACAAATCATAGAGATCCTTACAATTGGTGATAAAGACTACAACAGGAATATACTGTAGCGTATACTATACTAGAATTGAATTTAGTGTTTAGTTTAAAAGAAATATTTAGTATTTTATTATGCAAACCAATAAAATGTTACATACATTTGCTTTAGTAATTGAGTGGAAATGTTGTTAAATATAACAAATATTCACTGTATCCGGCACAGTTTGCAAATACACGGTTCACGAGCGCTGTGTGCAGAGAGCACCGGCATCCTGTATCAGCACATATTCCAAATCCAAGAAGACATCTCAGGTATTTTACTACAGCATATAAATTGNCTATATACTGTATGTATTGTGTGTTTTACGTGAATTGAATGATCCAAACAAACATTAAATTAAGTACTATTTATGGTCATTGTATTCAATTAAAAGCATTATATTTAGCGTTTCTTTCAGTATATCTAAACACTAAATATAAACTTCGTGTTTTATTGACACCAATAGTTTATATGAAATTATTTGTACAGAGAAGGGACTCATATTTATTACTAATTAATACTCTTTCATAAAATATGGTCTCCTTTTCGCTCATAATCTTCTCAATACTCTCTCAATCATGTCTATACTTATCGCTTTGGTTTCATAAACACCAGACAATTATTATTACAACAAAATAATTAATTTCAGAATATTCTTGTAATTTTGATCATGCATACAATTTTATAAATTTGAGAAACAAATGCCTGAATAGGATAGATGTGAATGGAAAGCGGTAATAGTATTGGGTTTAGTGATAAATAGTGATCACAAACACTATAAGCATTATAAGCAGTGCACTACTGGTAAGCCATAAACCATACAAACGCATTCAACCCCAATCTAACCCATACTAACCCATGACATTTAAGGCATTGTAAGTTATGTTGATTTTGTTCATGTTTTTCTTTGCTATTTTAGTTTACTCTTTTAGCTTTTTTGACTGTTTAAGACCAGTTTGTAAACGATATATATTCCCATATAGCATATAATTTATCTTTTTTATAATTGAAACTGTTTTGAGAACTACATATGATTTGAGGTGTTTTTGAACAATAGCTTGAAGTGTGATTTAATTGAATAAATATCGGATAAACAATATACACGTCTATTGAAGCGAATGTCATACAATTGTAACAGAAAAGCAATAACTGTGTCACATATGGATTGTGTCCATACAATACATTCAATACATTATTTCTGAGATAAAGTTTCTCTAAAAGCAAATCTATTGAAGAATTTCAATGTTTGTCGTTAACTCATAAGAGGTATAAAACACATAAAACAACACTTGAATGAAAATGGTATGAAATTGTATGGACACGACCCACGAATATCATCGACGACTTGAATTTTTTATTACTAATTATGTATGACATTAGAAAACGATTACAATTGAAAAATAACTTTTGATCATAGATTTAAAGCATGAATTGGATATCAATTCTATATGTTATCCACAATTTATTCAACAGAATTATAGCCTATTGTTTGCGAGTCATTTGTTTCACTAAACTAATCCTTCCGGAAACCTTCAGAGATCACTAAATAATTGTGATTTTCATGTCAATTATTATCACATGTATTGATTGTGTCATAACACATGATTCATAATAGCTTTCAGATTAAATGCATTTTAATTTTAAATGTCATTATTCTGTATATTTATCTATTATTATGATGATGAGAACCTTTGAAATAATTATAAATTATAAATCATGCTAAATGTGCCATTAAAAATAACAATGTAATTCGACATAAAAATAATACTGTATTTTTATAAATTATAATAGATATATTGATAGAAGTTGTTTTTAATAAAATAAAATAAAATATTAATATGAAAAATATGAATCTATGGACGCGTCTCGCAATGAATTGACGGCAAAAATATCGATCGCATGTGTTGTTTGGGAAATATTTTTGTCGCCACAACTAATGAGAGCATAGATTTAATGATAACACCTTTTCTGACAAATGCTTCGTTAAGTTTGTGACAATTTAAGCGATTATTACACAAAAAATATCTAATATATATATTTGAATGAGCTTTTAGTCAAAACAATTCCTTGCATTGAATTGAAAACAAAAAATAGGGCCGAGAAAGTGGTTTTAATAATGTTTGGTATCTTACCTAATTATTACAGACCTGCATTGTTTAGTTTCTGTTTAACGAAAAAAAGAACAGGATTTAAAGACCCTATAATAAAATTCAGAAATCTCTCTAGATAGTTTACAGTATTTTTTACCTTTAGTTATGAAACAGTGGACGACTTAACGAATAAATAGCAAATATAATATAAAAATGATTTTTGAAAAACTTAAATATAAATTCAAACGATGCAGATATCGATGGAAAGAGATGTCAAATATTTAACACTCTTTTTAATTATAATAAATTGAGTCATAAACTCATTATACAGCAGACATTAAATGTCAAACCGTTTCAATTGAAAGTTAGTTGTCTTACAAAAGGCATCCTTAAGAGTATTGTTTTGACTCAAAAGACAATTGAGAAGAGAAAATGTTTTTGGATGAGAGTCTCCTTTGTATTAAAAATACTTCGTGAAAGTTAGAGATTTAAAGACTATTAACAATAGACTAAATAATATATGATTTGAGCGTTTACACAGAATTTTGAGAAGCATTTTTTAATTAAAAATATGAGCAAAAATCAAATGAATTAAATTTAGTGCTAAAAACTTGAAAAGTATAGGATTACGAGGACTCACGAGAACTATGGGCACAATGGATGCCGGCGCTAATATATGATCCCTATGTTGGCCTAAATTACATTCGGGTTTGACTTGTGAGGCACAGTTATTGTGGAGCTGTAACACAAAACCATTGTATCAATTATATAAAAAAGAGTTTCATTTTCCTTAATTTACAGTCATTTGACACCAGCGACAGTGTAGTCCTGTAATGCCGTTGTATTTAATAGGTTTTCGACATTTACTGCATTTGCCGGAACAGTTGCCTTCTGTCCAGTGGTGCACAAACGTCTGCATCCATTGCCAACATATCCATAGGCATAGCCCACATGTACAGCACATCCATTGCCAACATCACGACATCCAAAGATGCAACCATTGAGTCCATTCGGATCAGCCATACATTCAATCAATAAAATTGCAATTTTAGCTCAAGTTTTCAAATTAAATTTATTTCCAATTTATATGCTGTAGTAAAATACCTGAGATGTCTTCTTGGATTACCTTATACACGACTATGTCCTACGGCCACGAGAGACGTGTGTCGCGAGCACTTGGCACATAAACGTTTGACACGGCCTATGTCACTTATAAACAATATAAATTGTTGTAAAGGTGAGTTAATGATTGCAAATGTATGTAACATTTTATTGGTTTGCATAATAAAATACTAAATATTTCTTTTAAACTAAACACTAAATTGAATTCTAGTAGAGTATACGCTACAGTATATTCCTGTTGTAGTCTTTATCACCAATTGTAAGGATCTCTATGATTTGTACAGTAAGTAAATGTATGTTATTTACTGAAAAGTGAATATAATTACTGTAATAAACTCTAAAATATGTGAATCATACACAGTACCCATTAATTTAAATATAAGCATTTGTTTTAATTATAGGTAATGCCATAATTTTAGAAATAACATTAGTGATAATTTGCTAATAACAGTGATGGGTCGCATAAATAAAAATATAATCAAATATAATAAGAGGACAACTGCTTGCTAATCGGCTATAAGTTATTCATTGGACTGGTGGACTATTAACTGTTCATTAAATAATAATTATAATGATCAAATCCCAAATTTTCAATCCATGAATATTTAATTATTGAATGTACAAAATTCTTTAATCAAATTATAATAGGAATTTGAAAACTATATATCGATTTTGAGTTTATGCATTGACTTAATTTAAATAATTTATGTTAAATAATATGTTCTCAATGTTAAGCAAAATTGCTATCAATAGTGGGGATAAATAAATGTGAATTTGTTGAGTGCTTTGAATACTGATTGAATGCAATCTCATATGATTTATACTTGAATTCAGAGAGATTTATCCGCAAAGACTTATAGATTGGAGAATCGCATGAAAAATATTGTTCAGAAAAATCTTAGTTTTTTAATTTAATACTAGAGTAGAAGAGAAATATAATTCAATTGTTGACTACATATGAGTTGAGTAACAATAAGAGTGTGGGACTGACAGTGACTTGCATTCAAAGTAGTCGAGCAGTTGATTGCTTAACAACAGAATTACTGTAAGTTTTTTCACAAAAATCACAAGAAATAAGTTTATTATTTGGGAAAATATTTTTGAGAAACAGATCGGATTATATGTTGTATTCAATCACAACTCAATTCTCGGATTTCATAATCCGTTCAAACAATTTAAATATATGAAAATAATGGCAACGCTTTGTTTTTATAGACTTTTTACTAAAAATTCAATTTGTCTAAATGTAATTCTCAAGAATATGTATTCAAATTTGAACACATTTTCAATTTTCATAATTTAAATTTTGAATTTAATTAATTTTATGAATAAAATGTGAATAAAAAATTAAAATAACTTTCATACCAATAATAATAATTATATACACTAAATGGTTATGCTCAATATTCAGTGAATATACCGGTAGTAGCAGTTTATTCTTGACTAATGGATAATAGCTTAATTCATAATAATTTAATTAATGGAGATATTTAATATTATTTATGATAACATTATTTTATTACAGTTGTAATAATTAATTTAAAAATGAATTAAATATAAAGTTGTTTTCTGTACTTCATGTGTAAGTAAATTAAGTGAGAATTTAAGGCTGTGAGTTTAAAGTATGAAACTAATTGTAATACAAGAAATTGTTTATTAAAAAGGATGTACTCACAGACACAGCACAGGCCTTTTTTGCCTAAACCCACTAACATAGTAAGGCATAGATTACAGTAAGCCGTACGACTGAAGTGTTTGAGTCTCCAAACGTGATTCCCATCGTCTTTCACTGTTTGCTGAAAGTGTCATCAAATTTGTTATTATTTCGTATAAAAATGAAATGTATAATAAAAACTCATTTAAATATATCAAATAAAATCTAACACTAAAGACATTAATTAAATTGCTACACTGTATGTGTTTATATGGTTTAAATAAATAAAAAAGTTTGCGCTATAAATGACATTAAAAGCAAAACTGAAGATAAATTACAGAGTCTAAGCCCAGGAGCACTAATAGAGGAATGGTAGTGAGTCCACCCCTTTTCCATTCGTCCAGAGATACAGTTCCGTCGGCGTCATAATCGATCTCAACCATCATGTCCTGTAATATCTATAATCAAAGTAAATGAAACAAAATTCAATCCGAGAAAGCGATTTGATGCCAAAGAAGTCAAAAAGTTTTTTCCTAATGTTTTAGCATTCATTGAAACTGTGATCGCATGTGGGGTTCGCAACAAATTTCGGGTGAGATTTAACACTGAAAAATCAAATGCAATAAAACAAATCCTTTGGGCGATAAAAATTTTGTTCATTTAATAGATGTTCGCAAATCTTAATTCTTAAGAAAATAAATACGAGTCGAGAGAGAAAAATAGAGAGAGAGAGAGAGAGAGAGAGAGAGAGAGAGACTCGACACGAAAAATAAAATCAAAATAAATTTCGTTTCCGTTATTTGACTCAAAAGGTCTTCGCCAATGTTTTTGTGATACCGTTTGGCATATCTATCAATCATTGTTTCCTAAAAACAGTTTAAATCAAATTGTGTGTCGACTCCAATGCAGTGCCGGCGCTATGTTTGCGTTCAGATAAATCAAATACAAACGAGAATTTGTTATTTTATAACAGCATCAGTGAACATTTTGGATTATATAAAAATATTTTAAAACAAATGATGAGATTTTAATTTTATAGCCTTTCGCATTAAACTATAAAGTACATTATTCATTCAATATTGTGAACTCAATCTCATTGCACAATAAGATATCAGTGCTCTCAGGGATGGTCGTTAAGAATATAAAACCAATGGTGTAGTCATAGAAATACATTACATATGAGTGTGAAATATGATAAGAGAAGTGCATAAATTTATTAATTACTACATTTGTGGTCAATTAAGGCCAAACCCTTAATATTATAGCGAATGTCACTTGAAAAATGCATTAAAACCTTTGGTAAACATCTTATAGAGTATTCTCTATCATCCAGAATAGTATTCCCTAACCATTGAAGTCATTATTCATCACTTGAAAAGATATAACTTATAGATAGATATAAAGTTATATTATGTTATATAAAGCTTTGAAATAAAATTTCTATTATTCATCAGAAACACTGCATTACTATAGCATTGCTTTTGAAATTCTAATTATTTTCTCTATATTTGTTTTGTATTGAATGAAAATAGAGATTCCTCTCAAAAGTCAATAATTTCTCAAATATATTTCCAAACGAATTGAAAAAAGCAGAGATATTATGATAATCTAAACAATAAGACACTACGAAAATACATTGCCTCTAAAAATATAATATCAAATAAATTTACAAAGTTTTTCATTCTTATTGTTATTAAATCACATGCCATTATATTTTTTATTTCAAGTACAAATACTTATCTAAAGGCGTTTATATTTAATTCTCAGAATGTATACAAATATATTTATATTTGTTTTTAGCAATGATTGTAAAGTTGTTTAATGTATTTTTAAAAAGTCATATGCATTACATTTGAATATATATTAGATGATATATTTGAGTTATGAAATGCATTAAACAAAATCAGACAAATTCACCAAAATCTTAGTTTCAAAACTAAATATTTATGAAATCTAAAGCTAAAGGAATATATACTCTGATGGGAATACAAAAAACGAAATGGATTTGAATTATTTCTCGTAATAAGGTTTGACAAAATCGATATAAAAAATATATTAAATGATAAGTAAATGAATTGAATACCGGCTTCAACTCAGTGACATCCCATCCCAAGTACTCGGCCACTGTCATCATCTGATCCACAATGCAATCCATTTCCTATGAAAACATTTTAATGCGGCATTAATTAGCAAATAATTATTATAATAATAATCTCGCATAATCTGAATTTCGTAAAAATAATTATTTAAACAAAATTCATTTAAAAATTTTGAAACTACTGTACATTTGTGTCAAAAACAGATCTCAAACATAAAGTTCATATTTCTAAGCGCATTATGTAATAAAAATGTTTTACATTAATTTTCAGCATTTAAAACAAATATTTAAAAAGAAATAAAACTCATAATTGAAAAGTAAACCTATATTCGGATGTCATCTAAATTCTGATGTCAATTATTCACATAAAGATTAAAATACTTTATATTAAAAATAGAGTTATGACGAGAAATATAAATGAGAATACATTTGATGTCAAATAAAATTGCCTTCAATTTATCATTTGTTTGGATCCCTAATACTCATTATTTTCATCATTTCCTTTCAAGAATCCATAAAACAATTATTTCTTCCAATTTGTCACTTATTTCATTCAATAAGCAAAATATATGTAAAAACTCATATTATGTCAAGTTATTCACATTTATATTATATTTCATTAATATAATTGAAATATGTAAATGCATTATAACTCATATTTAAAAAATTTTAAAGCATAAATTAATTTAAAACTAATAAATTAACACAATTATACTAAAAAATTAGAGAATTAGGAAATGTGTAAATAAAAATAGTAAACCAAATATAAGTTAATGGCTTAAGAAATCTAACGTTACGCCATTGATTGCAAATGGGATGAAAAGCACTTTTATTAATATTATATCAATAGTAGAGTATATTATTTTTCAATCAAATGTGAGAAATTCCTATCGATTTTACCCATTAATGGTTTGTTGTATTAAATAAATATTTATATAATAGAACTTAAAGGTCAAAGGTTTAGGCATTAGAATAGAGACCATTGACGCGAAAATAAGCGTAAATGTATTGCTTGTGAAAACTTGTCATAAAAATCAATTGTCTGATATAAAGACAAACGTTTCTGTCAATGAATATTGTTATTCATATTTTATGAGTAGTTAAGTGAAAATTGATTTAAATATTTAATAATATTTGCCATTCCGTTGTCATATGGCTTACACTACCATTCATTTAATTCTGTGAATTCTTAAGAAGAGCCAAAATATTCTCCAAAATGGAAATTCCTTATGAAATAAATTTTGCAGAAAATATAATGAAATTATTATCGGAAAAGTTGGCGAAAGTTTGAAAAATCTAATGACTTTATAAGCGTCTGATTTTCACAGAATATTCTGCATTAAAAGAATTTATATTCAAAACCAAACAGACTTATGGCTAATATTGATGTTCTGTATAAAATGTGTTAAGACTAATGTCTCGAGTGAGTGAATGAAATAAATTTAAAAATTTAATAGAATTTAGCAGTAAATGGGATAAAAGTATTGGAAAAGGACTATAAAAAGCTTTTCAGTGAACGACACAATCCGTTCTCTAATTTACTTTCAAAGACTCAAACAATGATTATTTGAATTTAAAGATTAGTTTGAAATCTTTGGAAGAAAGCGAAATATTAATATAAATCTTGAAAAGTCATTATTTGTCGGATATGTTAGTGCTTTTGAGGAAAACATTTTTGTTGTGATAAAATAGCGGTTCATAAGACGATTAGCACACTATAGACGTAAATGTTCTTAATTTTTATAAGCTTTTTACAAACGAACCGTTTTTAGCACCAAAAAAGCAAAACTTTAATCCATATCCGACTCAGACTTAATGGATAGTTAAGTGTTTCAAGAGATACAAACTTCATAGCAAATAAATTATGTCATAATCTATAAGCAATATAGAAAGGCCATCAAATAGAAATGCATTAGTTATTGTGGTATTAATGAATATTATTATTGAACCAATTCTTCAATGCCCTATTACTCGAGTCAAATTCAACAAGGTCCAAAGCATTTATCTACATTTTAATGTTTATTACACTTACTCAAATTCTCAATAAATATGTATTTAAGCATAATACAGTATTATTAATATTACTTATTAATACCATAATACTCGTGATATATTTGAAAATTGCTATAAATAGTAATATAAACAAGAATAATTTAGTGAAAATTTTTATGATCGCAAATAACAAATGAGAGAAGCCTTTAGAGAAGATTTAGAAATAAAAATAATTGAATAAATTTTATGAAATACTCTAAACATAGGGTAATCTATAATTAGAAGAGTTTTGTTGAAAACAAATCAATAAAATTTGAGAGAAATCTTAAGATCTTTTAGCGATAGTTAAGAAATAATAAATAAATTAATTTAAATAAAGAAAAACATTTGGAAACTATATTTAGTTTATTCGTAACATTTGTTTTACGAGAGAAAAGAGAGTGTATTTGTTGTGCAAAACAATTCATTTATGGCTCACATCTGTATTCAACGCCTCGTGTTATTAAGTTTGACTATATTTTACAGCCATTTCTGAATTAAAGCACAAAATGAGAAGAATTTTCATTTTATGAACTTTTCGGATGAACTCAACTCAAAAAACATTATTATTTTATTTGTGACCTAAAATTGCCAACAAATAAAATACTGTGTTTTACCAGTACTTTAAGAATACATCGAAATAAATGTAAAGAATCGAGAATTTGAAACAAATACTG